GGCCACAGGTGTTTAATTAAACAAAGGAGGTATTGTTTTTTCCCTTTCTTTCTGTTTGATAGTTTATTCCTTTGTTAGATAGGTTATTATAAGACTACCTTTCAGCAACTACGTTTTTTTTCATTTAGTAATAAGTCGTAGGCATCTTTCCATACCAGCAAATTGGGGGGGGGGTTCATAGTGCTTTAAAACATGAAATTCACTGTTAGTCCCAGTTGCTGTTCCTTGTAGACTAATACTGTCAGTTTCAGCTTGATGAAGTGCCCTTGCCATTGTAGGCCCTAATAGACTGAAATGTAGGGATCTGGATGTACTAATGCTTGTCAATAACAACTAACTAAAGCTTTTTTGTATGTAACTTCTAGGTGAACGACCCCTGACAAAAGACAACCACCTTCTGGGTACATTTGATCTGACTGGAATTCCTCCTGCTCCCCGTGGGGTCCCACAGATTGAAGTCACCTTTGAGATAGATGTGAATGGCATTCTTCGAGTGACAGCTGAAGACAAGGGTACAGGGAACAAAAATAAGATCACAATTACCAATGACCAGAATCGGCTGACACCTGAAGAAATTGAAAGGATGGTTAATGATGCTGAGAAGTTTGCTGAGGAAGACAAAAAACTCAAGGAGCGCATTGATACTAGAAATGAGTTGGAAAGCTATGCCTATTCTCTAAAGAATCAGATTGGAGATAAAGAAAAGCTGGGAGGTAAACTTTCCTCTGAAGATAAAGAGACCATGGAAAAAGCTGTAGAAGAAAAGATTGAATGGCTGGAAAGCCACCAAGATGCTGACATTGAAGACTTCAAAGCTAAAAAGAAGGAACTAGAAGAAATTGTTCAGCCAATTATTAGCAAACTCTATGGAAGTGCAGGCCCTCCCCCAGCTGGTGAAGAAGAAGATGCAGCAGAAAAAGATGAGTTGTAGACACTGATCTCCTAGTGCTGTAATATTGTAAATACTGGACTCAGGAACTTTCGTTAGGAAAAAATTGAGAGAACTTCAGTCTCGAATGTAATTGGAATCTTCACCTCAGAGTGGAGTTGAAAATGCTATAGCCTAAGTGGCTGTTTACTGCTTTTCATTAGCAGTTGCTCACATGTCATGGGGTGGGGGGAGAAGAGGAATTGGCTATCTTTAAAAACAGGGTAAAACAAAAAGCGGGGTTAGGGTGTGTGTTCACCTTGAATATGTTCTATTTAACAATTGGGTCATGTGCATCTGGTGTAGGAACTTTTTTCTACCATAAGTGACACCAATAAATGTTTGTTATTTACACTGGTCTAATTTTTGTGAAAAGCTTCTAATTAGATCAATCATCTATTAGGAATGTTAACTAAAATTTAAGGTTTGATTCTCAAGTGTGTGCCTACATGCTCCTGCGTGAGAGGGAAAGGTTTGGAATATTGGGGTAAAGAAACATTTCTATTCAGTACTTGCAGGGAATTTGCCTATCCTTAATTAACCTAAGAAAAAGGGGAGAGGAGTTCACCTAGATGGGACACTTGAGTTACCCAAGAGTAGGGTTTTCTTTTTCTGAGACAGTCTTGCTCTGTTGTCTGGGCTAGAGTGCTGTAGTGTCAAGCGTAGCTCACAGCAACCTCAAACTCCTGCCTCAGCCTCCTAAGTAGGTGGGACTATAGCCATGTACCACCATGCCCAGCTGATTTTTTTCTGTTGTTAGAGATGGGGTCTCTTGTTGAGGCTGGTCTCAGACTCCTGAGCTCAAGTAATCCTCCCACCTCAGTCTCCCAGGGTGGTAGGATTACAGGCATGAGCCACCATTCCCAACCGAGAGTAGAGTTTTCTTGAATAGACTTGAAATTTCCTATTTCCCCTAATCTTTCTAAAACTGCCTTTATGATATGATAGCTTTTTATTACTAATGATGTTTATAGTTCCTTGGATTCTCATGAGAATTGATAGAGTGACCTGGTCACACCAATGTTGTCTTTACACACTTGGATTTTATTTATAATTTTAGGATGTAAAGATATGTTTTAAACCCTAGCTGTGTCAGAATCTCCATCCCTGAAATACCTCATTAATGGTACTGGGGTGGGATTTAGGATGGTGACATTGAAACTATACAACTCCACTGTGATTGTGGGTCAAAGGCAGGTTTAAGATCACTTAGATTGGCTTCCTGAAGAAAGGGATGGTCTAAGTGAATTAGTATGATCAGGCTCTCTGGTGCTAAGGAGAAATCCAATGATGCCCAAGGATACGTATTTTATAGATGAGCAACTGTCTGAAAGGTGAATTTTTTTTTTTTTTCTTCCCCTGGAGAGCAGAGTCTTGCCCTGTTACCCCAGCTAGAGTGCAGTGGTGTCACTGTAGTTCATAGCAACCTCAAATCCCTGGGCTTAAGCGATCCTCCTATCTCAGCCTCCTGAATAGCTGGGCCTACAGTGTGCACACCATCAGGCCCAGGCCCTACTAATTTTTCTATTTTTTGTAGAGAGAGGGTCTTACTCTTGCTCAGGCTTATCTCAAACTCCTGACCTCAAGCAATCCTCCCACCTTGGCATCCCAAAGTGCTAGGATTACAGGCTTGAGCCACCTTTTCCCCAAAAAGATTAATTTTCTTGGAATGGCAGCACTGAGACCCAACACCAACTTTTTCTTAATCAGGCTCAGGCTTTTGCTGTACTCTCCAAAAGCATTTAGGCAGAGCTTGAGTAGAATAAAGAAGGCCAAGCCCAATACAAATTGGTAAAAATTGCAGGTTAAAATAGACCTGTAGTGATGTGTGCCTTGGGGCAATGGGGTTGGTGGGCAGTTAGGAGTAACTAGGGCCCATACTCATCCCGTCCTTAATGGCTTTCACTACCTTGGACTGTCTAGTCTTTGTTTTGTTCTGAGAAGCACTTTTGTTTTATTGGAGACAGGGTCTTGCTCTGTTGCCCACGCTGGAGTGCCGTGGCATCATCATACCTCACTGCAGCCTCCAACTCCTGGGCTCAGGCAATCCTCCTGCCTCAGCTTCCTGAGTAGCTGGGACTACAAGGTGTGCACTTCCATGCCACGCCTGGCTAATTTTTCTGTTTTTAGTAGAGACAGGGTCTGGCTCTTGCTCAGGCTCAAACTGTCCCCCTACCTCAGCCTCCCAAAGTGCTAGGATTACAG